CGTGATTCATATATGCCTTGATCTATCGATCAGAGACTGTTAAGAATGCACTCAGTGAACTCCGCAGAGGCTATTTAAACTGAAATAGTCGATATATGAGGGGGGTGTAATAAGTGTATTTGTCCCCGCAGTTCTATTAACTCATAAGAAAATATACGAAGATTTTTTTCTCTTTCGTTCTTTTTTCTTTCGCCCAAAGAATGGTCAAGATACGCTAGGACTGAAATCTAGGTCTAAGTCGCTAGTTTCATCGTGAGTTTACGTCGAATGTGGCAATTTGTGCCTAGCTTTCAGTCCTAGCGTATCTTGACCCCAAAGAATCAGGTCTGACGATCAGGTAGAATACATCAAATGAGATAGAAACGATACAGCAACTAATTAAAATCATAAAAAAGATAGAGGTCATAATTGTATGCAAGTTTTTGCAATGGCGAAATTTTCATGAAAGAGCAAATTAATGAAAGCTTATCTTGACCGCTGATAATGTCAGTACTCAGCAGCGTTACCATATAAAACCCTCCATAGTACATAATCCACTAGTGTGCATCAGTGCGTTATGTCTAAAATACGTGAACGATTTGAGTTTAAGCCTTTTAGACACAACAGGTAATGATATTTCAAAAAATCAGCAGTACGTGTCTGTACGTTTACTTTTAAAAATCTCTGGTGCATACCGATAAACTCATTTTCTGTGCGTTTGAATAAGAAGAAAAATGTTTGAATAAGTCCTAGAGATGCAAATATTCGCCAAATTCTTAAAATATCTGTTTAATGCGCTTTTCCTGAAACGAAGTATTTACCAGCATACGGAAAGATTTTAGTGTTGCCTTAATGAAATCAGGATGTTCTGAATTGTTTCATTAACATGTCTCAAGTATGGCTCAAGAACATACAATTGTTAAACCATCGATCGAGTTTCAAAGAAAAAAACAGAAATTCAATGTATGCTTAGGATTATATTAGGTTTTTTAACAATTACACCTATTTCATCGTCATCAATCTATCTGATAATAGAGTGAAATATGCGCTCAACTATTTTTAATGCCATCGAGATGTGAAGACCAAAAATAACAAGAGATCATTGACAACTGTTCCTTTTCTTTTTGTATACAAATATTGTTGACCAAATATTCTATATGTATATTTTGATAAAAATAAATACGAATAAACTACTATACACTTTTATGTGTGTTTCATAAATTACATCTATAAGCACTGCTATTGCAACCAACAAAATCAACACTATTTCACATTATCATACATGATAAATATATATATATATATACGGTAGGAAATAATATTTTTCCAGGGGAGGTAGAGCTCAAACTACAAATGATGTAAAACTGAACTATATACAAAATGAAAGCCCGTTGAAAATGGGATTGATGAGTATAGTTGATATTCTGTATGACGATTATTAGCTGTAGAATTATGGAAGTTTCTATCGCGTGTGTCATAATGAATGATCCTCTCAGTATTTTCGACTTTTCTCGTTTTCTTTAAGATCACACGGTTAGTGTTATTTTTAAAAGATGCGGTACGAAATACTGTACAAAACCATACCTAAACTTCAATCAAGAACACTACGTAAATTATACGAAGGGAGAAAAAGCTGAAAGCTTTGTATATTTGATATTTTTTTCGACTTGAACTTTTTTCTTCTGCTCTCATTTCCAAAAAAGGTGTAGAAAAAGTGAGCACTCAGTTCTTTTTGTACTTTTGAATATGCTCTTTCTTGTAATTTGTAAAAAAAATTGTTTAGAGCAGATGATGTGCTGGAGAACGAAGTTTCAAAGATGTCTCCCGTTGTCAACAATGTGTCTAAGCAAGAAATGGAAAACTTGATCAGAGTTTTGATTTTGTAATTAACAATAGAAAAACAATCATTTTTGATCAAAACAAAACAATCCTGATCGAAAAAACTTTTGTTTTGATGAAGTTATGGAACTTTTACTGAAAGCACAACTATACCCAGAATTTAATCATTATGACACACGCGGTAGAAACTTCCATAATTCAACAGCTAATAACCGTCATACAAAATATCAACTATACTCATTAATCCCATTTTCAACGGGCTTTCATTTTGTATATAGTTCAGTTTTACATCATCTGTAGTTTGAGCTCTACTTCTAGTGGCGTAGCCACCGGGTGGGCTGGGCTTAACCCACCCACTAACAAAATCCTGGCTACGCTACTATGTACTTCCCTGGCAAAATATTATTTCTTGCCATATATATGTGTATATGTACATATTTATCAGAACCAGACCAGAATGACATGATCATATAATAGAAGTGTGAAAGAAAAAGTAACAAAGAGACATATAAAGTATTAATGCGCAATCCAACTAGCATAAACAGAAGACTAAACAAAAAATAGCAGAGATGAGATAGAACAACAATAATAAATATAGTTTCATTAAATGATAAACATGTGTGTAAATGATCGTATCCATTATCGACAATTACTCAATGTTTTCCTTTTTTTTGTTTCCTGATTGTTATCAATCGATCATAGCACATTAATCATATAGAATTCTGATAATTTCACAAAACTAATGAAATATAATGCATTAAAAACAGCTTGTAACAGTACTTTCAAGGAGTTTTAATTATCTCTTATGGATTCTAACACTTGCATAGAATATCATTTGCCAAATTACAAATTATCTCCCTTTATTATAAAGGCAAACATATTGAATAATATCCCAAATTTTATTGAATCTCAAACTTATAAAAGTCTCGAAGTGGTGGGAAGCGACTAACATTTCTACTTACAGTTGAACTTTTTACACATTTTTGTACAAAATTTACATTATATTTTATTCTTAGGATTACTTAAAAACCACTATTATTACATATATAGACAACAAAGAAAACTGTTCATATCACTCACCCGTTATCATCACAAAAATTAAATATTAACTTCTTCAGTGACATTAAATCTAAAAAAAGTAGAACTTTTATATGTTTAATCTAAGAGAAAAAATATTTTTTAATGATTAATTAAAAGTTTAAATATTCTCTTATGCTCTAAGTGTACTGTAAAGTAGGGATGTTTGGTTCTCGGTTCTCGTTTACTCGGGAATCTTGAAAAGAAAATAAGAAAAATTTTCTTAACTAGCAAGTGAACATGTTCATCAGATCTTCCCCAGTGGAGGTAGTTTATCCGGATGCATAAAATTAAAACACGTATCAGACTCTAAGTTCTTTTATATCGCTAAATATTGTTGAAAAACATCGCATCAGCTATTAAATGCGTCTCGATCACATTTTCTCAATAACTGATTCATTGATGCACTTTGAAACTTATTTTAATTGTTCATCAGAAAACTGTTCTGAATCTTTAGAATAATGTTTCGCTACATTTGACGCTCAAGTTTTCTGTTTTTCTAAAAGTCCAGCGTGTCGCACTTAGTCTGTTTTCTACACTTACTGATCTTGTAAACTACGCATTCCTCATTCGATTAGAATATTCCTGCAGCTCATTATAAGCAGCTGTTGAAAATTGAATTACAAAAATTGATCTTTTATACGTTTATATGCTGGCAATGTCAGTGTGCCGACAGTGTCTTATGCCTAAAAAACGTGCAGGACTTGATTTTAAGCCAAAAGCTTTTTAGAAACGAAAGATAATCACATTTCAAAACATCCAGTCGACGGTACGCGTCTGTACGTTTACTTTTAAAAATTTCCCGTGCATACCGATAAACTCATTTTCTGTGCATATTTTCATTGACTGATGACCTAATCATGTACGCTTTGCGAAGAAAACAGAGCATATGTAGACGCTTTGGTTGGAAAAAGAGAGCGTACTCATACGCTTAGCGGACAAATCCTGTTAGGAACATTGACTATATTTCAATTGACTACAACATTGACCCACACGAAAAATGCAGTACTAACATGATGAAAAACTGACATCAACTTTTTACCCTAGCATCACTAGACTTTTTAACATAACGTTGTTATACATTAGTTATAGCATTTCGGAACAGTGCAACCATCAAAATGTGTAACGTTACTCACTTTGTTTAATATGACAAATAACAGTTCTGATTGTACTGAAGACTGAACCAATAGAAAAATGCGTTAGCCCTCTAATCATTGCCAATAGTAGCGGTGTCGCTATAAGAAACGATATGATAGATCATGATTTTCTCCGACAGGGTTGAAATACTTTAGCGAGAAGATATTTCCGGCGAGAATGCCCACTTTTTTGAGCGACCATTGCTAAATCATAAATCAATAGAAGTCAAAAGAGATGCCCGCATGGACGGTATTATCTCTAATGTTAACTACTACTGTACGCTTCATAGCTTGATTTTTTTGATGAGATCAAATGAGATTTATTTGTAACCAAGGTTTGTCATGGCCATGCCAAGTTCTTTAATAGAAACTATTTTGAAACCTTTGGCGTTCCTGAAATTTGTCCTAGTGCTTCATCATATCAAACAAAAATTTACGAAATGCATTTCTGTTTTAGTCAAAGTTTAGCTTCCTGTTCAATACATGACCTTTGTGAGACCATGAACACTAACTTCGACCTCACAATGTTTTATCCGGTTTTCTCTTCGGGAACATGATGCAACCAAACTATCTAGCTCACATTGGGCTCAGTTAAAGGTTGAGACCAGAACGGATACACAGTAGTTTTGTTTCTTGTGTCTTCTCTGTCATGTATCAATAAGATACACAAGGGACGGAAAGAGATGAAATATACTTACAAACATATCTGTTATAACAACAACTTCATGTTTTTTCCGTAATAAACCGATGTTCCCCACAAGAAGTGCATGTTTTGTCCTGTAGAAATCGATGTTTCACCACAAGAGCTTCGTGTTCTTTCCTGAAGAAATCGATGTTTCTCAACAACAACATGTTTTTTCCGGGACAAATCGATGTTCCCCCACAAAAAGTGCATGTTTTCTCGTGAGCTGAGAAAACTTCAGGACATATACTTCGAAGTATCCTCTACAAACTGGGAAGGCTTGAAGAAAAAATTCAAAACTTGAAAATATTGCTGGTTTTTGGCTCAGCGAAGATTTTTTCACCCCACCTTACGGCTAATTTCGCGCGAAGCAAGCATTTTGAAGCAAAACTCTGGATACAAAAGTTGTTCAGAATCGAATTCCTCACGAGAGCTTTTCTCAAAATTTTTTATTTTTAAATTATTTTAAATTGAAAAATACGAAATTTTAAAATTTTAAAAATCGTAAAATTTAATTTAAAAAACAAAAAAACGAAAGGTGAAGGACTCCAGAATTCGATTTTGAACAACTTTTGTATCCAGAGTTTTGCTTCAAAATGTTTGCTTCGAGCGAAACTTGCCGTAAGGCTTTTTTCAAAATACTTTTAGCTCTAAAATTTTCTCGGGAAGGTGAAAGTTAAATTTCTCTGTCAAACTTCATTTGGGAACGATGTAAAGTTTTTCTCCTTATACAAGTTAATGTTCTCTATCGAATTATGTTGTTTTATATATTTGTTGGAAGAAAAAAAGTTTAAACTTGATTATGACACAAATATGAGCAATCTAGAATATCATAAGTGTGTATGATAACTGATTACCAGTTATATAAGTGTTTGTGTCCGCTTCAGCAATTCGTTAAAAAGCTTCCTTTATCATCTATTTTTTTACTTCGATGCAATTACAGTATAACCTCTCTATTGTGAACACCATCGGGACTCTCCAAAGAGGTTCACTATAGGGAGGTGTTCACTTTAGAGAGGTGATACATGTTTTGCTGTGAAATAAAGAAAAAGTTTTAGAATGTCTGCTTCTACGCTAGTCCTGAAACTTCTATTGTTCATCTCTTTACCATCCTTATTATCATTAATTAATTCAATTTTTTCTTTTAAAGTTAGCTCGTGTCGTGATGATATTCTTTTTTTATCATACATAAAGTGTTGCCAGTTTTAGTAAATAAGAGACAGATGATAGACAGTAGGGAGAGAGAGAGAGAGAGAGAAACATTGCACGTGTGTTCACATTAGAGAAGTGTATTTTCCGCAAAAAATTGTTCCGTCGGACCTGAGAGCGTTCATAGTACAGGAGGTGTTCACTAATATAGGTTTTACTGTAGATAGACCAAATATTTCTCTACAAAGTGAGGCGTTTCGCAAGATGAGGCGATCCTTAATAGCCGCGTTATAACAATTTTCGTAGATCCTAGAAAACCCAGAAATAAGTGTTGCATACATGTTTGTTTTGTGTTATTATCCTCTTCGTATCACTACGTAGTGATAGTACCTATATAGTACCATTATTTTGATTCTCAAAACAATAATGTGCGATCGGTTAATATGTTACACTTTATACATGTCTTAGCGTGTTGTATACTGATTTTTTTTGCGTTTTTAGAAGTATTCTTGATTTTGATTTTGAAAAACTATGTTCAATTACATTGTCAAATAATAATGTTTATGCATGTTTAGTATGTGCAAAATATTTTCAAGGTACGTTTAACGATTGAACAGTGAGTAAATAATGTCAAATGCTGTTGTTATCTATTCATTTAAGGTCGTGGACAAAAGTCGTACGCTTTTACTCATAGTGTTAAAACTGATCATCATGTTTTTATTAATTTACATACATTACAATTTTATTGTTTGCCCGATAATTATGAAATAATCGATTCATCACTGGATGATATCAAGGTAATTTTTGATATATTTAAAATACAATATTCATCTGTTTTGTTTTGTTTTGTACTTTAAGTATGTTCTAGATCCAACGTATACAAAAGAACATATTCAACAATTGGATAAAAATGCAAAATTAGTTCGTGCCTATGATGGAACATTATATTTGCCCGGTACTAATTGAACAATTATTTGATAAATTTAATTATAAATTTTTGCTTTTTTTTATTTAGGCATTGTTAGTCTTAATAATATAAAAGCAAATGATTATTGTAATGTTATTTTGCAAGCATTAATCAATGTTAGTCCACTACGTAATTTTTTTCTTGAAGAGGAAAATTATGCAAATATCAGAGTTGCACCAGGAGATATTATGGTAAATTTGGTCAAACGTTTTGGCGAACTAGTGAGAAAATTATGGAATCCCAAAAACTTTAAAGCGCACGTTTTACCACATGAGATGTTACAAGCAGTTGTCAAGTGTAAAAAATCGAATATACCACGTCAATTCACTAAAGACAAATGTGTTATTGTAGATGATGATATTAAAACGTTGTTAGGTTAGTTCTTTTGTACCATAAAGATAGGCAGTTAAAAAGAAAATGGTTATTCAGTTGTTTTGACAGAATACCATCGCATTTGTGTACGTTGAAATGAGCTGAGTCTCTTCTACGTTTTTGTTGTTGGTAAAGTTGTTAGTAAACAACATTATATACTGACTGAATAGCAAATTTAAACGTTTGTACATTTATTCATGTATTTGTTTTTTTATTCTACTTCCAGAAAAAGACTTTTTTTGTCATCATTTAGCGTTTGCTTACTCGAATATAAATCGCGAGAGAGACTGGTATTTTGATACAATTTTCACCACGCGCTTGAAGGATCGCAAATGATGTCAGTATCCCAGGCAGACAAAAATTTTCGAAAACGCGTTTAAACGCCCAAAAACTGACATAAAATCCAAGAAAAGTGGACGTGTTTCGCTCACAATCGCGGTTTCCGACTGTGAGCGAAAAACGCCCATTTTTCGTAGGTTTTGTACGTTTAAACGCGTTTTCAGCCAAAACACGCATGTAACCGTACAAAAAGAAGACGAAAAGTGGCCGTTTTTTAATAGTCGTGAACCGTGATTGTGATTATGATTCGGACTATTAAAAAATGGTCACTTTTCGTCGTCTTTTTGTGCGGTTACACGCGTGTTTTGGCTGAAAACGCATTTAAACGT